AGAGAGAGAGAGAGGGAGAGAGAGAGAGAGAGAGAGAGAGATGAAAAAAATGGCAAAAGCCCCCCTGAGCTGCAAGTTCAAGTGCGGACGTGACGTCCCTGCGAACTTGAACGTCAGGAGTCTGGATGGACAGAGACACACAAAACATGGGCAGGGCGAGCAGGAGAGAAGGGGAGGAGGGAAGGGGAAGCTCACACCAATGGACACACATCAGGGGCTGGACATGAAAAAGAGACCAGGACAAGCCAATGGCCAGTGCGGGGCGGGGGAGGTGCGGGGCGGGGGGCTCTGCAGACGCCAGACGCGGCCCCTGGGGGAGGGGCGGGTAGAGGGGAGGGGGCTTGGGGCCGCTGGCTCACCAGTGGCCGCAGCGAGCGCCGCGGCGGTGGCGTGGCCAGGAGAGAAGAAAGGGGTGGCGGGTTGGGAGGGGGGGAGCAGGACTTGCGCCTTGCTCCCCCCCGCCACACGCGGACCCTAAAATGAAAGATTATTTAAGAGGGGGAGGGGGGAAGAGTGCCCCAGGAGGCTGCAACCCAGGGCCGGGGAGGCGCGGGCGGAGGGAAGCCAGGTAGAGTTGCTCCCGGACACCCTCTCAGTGCGCACACCCACTTCCCCTCCCCGCCGCGGCGGCTCTCGCTCCCTGCCTGCTGACGCCCGGGGCCGAAGTGAAAGCCTCGAGCCCGCGGCAGCGCTCAGAAAACTTTGCCCACGGAGAGGATAGGAAAGAAAAATCACCCGAAGTTGAGAGCTGAACCTCCAAGTTACAGCTCCGCAGCGGGCAAGGGGAGGCGGGAGGGAGCGCGTGGAGAAGCGGAATCCAGCCCAAGTTTGGAGGGTTGCGGGTCCGGAAGGGTAGCGCCGGGGCCTCCTGGAGCCAGGGCGGCCTCGAGGGAGGGGGTTGGGGAGAAGGAAACGGCGCGGGCCTGGGCCCAAGGGCCGGGAGGGCGCCCCCAAAGCCGAACCAGGGACTGGGATATGAGAGCCCCAACAAGCCTCTGAGTCTAATGCAACTGGATGCACCCAGTTCCCAGCTCTCAAAGGTCGTAGGGAGAGAGACCGATGAATAAAGACCGAAGAGCCAGAGTCAGGGCGGGTTCCAGCCCAGGGAGGGGAGTGCTGGGGGCCGGGTCGATGGAGGCACTAAGGCTTCCACCTCTCTGAGCAGCCCAGGGCCGGAGGACAAAGCGCGGGCAATCTCAGGAGTCCCAGTCCCTGGGAACATGCTCCCGGCGCCGCGGGAGGTCCCGGAGCCGGGTCTCTGGGAGGGACACACCCCCTCCCATTCCAGAGTAAACTGCAAAAGCGCAGAGGGATAGAAAGAAAATGATTCTTACGGGCGAAGCACAACAGTTCCTGTGCTGTTACCCAGGGAAAGAGAAAATGGGGAAAGGAGAGAGTGACTGGCTCTCAGGAGCCGCGGGAAGGCCACAGTGGCGAGATGACCGCCCCAGGTCAGCGCCTCACTGACTCCCCAGGCGCCCGCAGCCGTGGCGCACAACCCTGAGCCCGCAGCTCCTTCTCGCCTTTCTGCAAGACGTTCCCTGGAAATTAGGGAAGACCTGTTGGAAATAAACCCCTGTCTCTTTAATGCACACACGCACACACACGCGCGCTGCCGCTGTCAAAAAGCGGGCTTCACTCTGGCGTGGGATACTTTCAGTTTTACGTAAAATGTACAGCAACAGCACCCCCTGCGATTGGAAAGTTTATTCAGGAACGTGCCTGCAAAGTCCCCCGGCGTCTCCCGCCTCCCAGCCTCCCAGCCTGCCTGCACCACCCTGCAGCCGCCGCC